CTCAGAGTAGGTAGAATGTTGTTAGGTAGAATGGGATGCTATATAAATTAGATGAATGAATAAATAAAATCGGTTACCTTAATGCCAATTATGAATATATTCCCTTTCCACGTGCTGAAAAAGTTTCTTTCCATGCCTCCCCAAACTCTTTGATGTGTACTTCTGCTATATCTCTTGTTGAGAGTTGAGACTCTAGAAAGAGTGCAGAGAAGAGCAACCAGGATGATTAGGGGATTAGTGGTCACAGCAAGTGGGGTTGGCTAGTCTAGTGAAGAGAAGGACCAGGGGAGACATGAGAGCAGGGTTTCAATATTTGAGGGGCTGCCACAGAGAGGAGGGAATCAAGCTGTTTTCCAAAGCACCTCAAGGCCAGACAAGGAATAATGGATGGAAATGGATCAAGGAGAGATTCAACCTGGAAATAAGGAGACATTTTCTGACAGTGAGAGCAATCAACCCATGGAACAGAAGTTGCCTTTGAAGGTTGTGGGAGCTCCATTCCTGGAAGCTTTCAAGAAGAGACTGGACTGCCACCTGTCAGAAATGGTGTGGGGTCTCCTGCTTGGGTAGGGTGGGGTTGGGCTAGATGACCCACAAGGTCCCTTCCAACTCTGTTAATCTGAAACAAATCTGTCTTAAAGAAAAACAAGGAACGAACAAATGACATCCCCCTATCCTCACACAAATCCACTGTATGTTGGCCAAGCTTAGAATATCTGTTCTTCGGGACACCGGTAGCGAATGTGAAACTGGATTTTCTAGCTGGCGCAACTGGGAATTAGCAACTACTGGAGAACTCCAAGTTCTCAATTTCTCCACTTTGAGGATGATAATTCCTTTTAGAAGTTTTTTTTAAATTAAAGAGTAGAAAAACTGCACTGAACTATCCTCAACATCCTAAGCCAGTGTTCACAGTAGGCATTGGATGCTGGGAATTGTAATCTCACAATGACTAAGGATCATGGACTCTCCATTTCCAACCTAATCTGAACAATTCTATGTATACAATTAATTTATATAATCACATTACTTTTTTTTGACCTCTCTTTTTAAGAAAGAACTTCCTCCTTTCTATAGTCCATGGATGGAGATTGCTCATCAGTTAGTTTACTTAATTGAGAGCCATCAACTTCGTTTCCAGGTCAACAAGGTACTGAAATTCCTTCTCACGCATGACATTTAACCATGGAGATCCGACATTGTGCTTCATCATGCTCTAGGACAGGGGTCTCCAACCATGGCAACTTTGTGGACTTCAACTCCAAGAGTTCCTTTGCTGGTTGGGGAATTCTGGAAGTTGAAGTTTACAAGTCTTAAAGTTGCCAAGGTTGGAGACATCTGCTCTAGGAAGCATGTTTCCTTTCTTTATTGCATACTAGAGGAGTGGATGCTAACTTCCCTATCAGACTTGTCTTTGAGTTGGGATCTCCACTTTTACTTTTTGAAACACCCTGAACCATTTGTGTATATTGTGGCCCGTCAACAGCCAGCAGAGCTGGCAGCAAAGTCATACAGTGAGGAGGTTGAGGAGGAGCATGGGCCAGTCCTGGAGGCTGGGGAAGGCTCGGACGAGGGCTCTGCATTGGAGGCAGAGACAGGGCCAAGGCCATCTAGCAGTGATCAGGTGCCTATGGAGCTAGACAGCAGTGATTCAGAAGAACAGCTGGAGCCTGTTCCTAGAATGCGCATGCACAGAGCTGCCAGAAGAAAAGAACAACTGAGAAATCAGAGTAGACTTGGGAGTAAAGACAAAGGTGGAAGGGGATTGGCTCCTCCCATAGGAAATAAAAGAGGGGCGAAAGGGGAGTGGGCTTTTTCAGGAAACTATTCGTTCATTCGGTCATTAGATTCATTTCAGGAGTGTGAAGATCTGTCCGTGAATCTCAGAGACTCTGTGCCCAGTCTTTCCTTGCACAGCACCTCAT